TGCACTAGGTAGTTGAGGGTAAAATGCTCGACAAGAGATTTTCCCTTATGCTTCTTGTTGGCGTGTGTTCTCTTTGGCGTAGGAAGAAATTAAGACTGCAGATCAGTGGGAAAACTAGCAAATGAGCTTAGATTCGTTGAGCTCGGTTTTGCCAACTTTTGTGGAACTTGATGAGTAATGCAACAGATGAAAAGGAGTAAAGATGGATGCGATGCTTGTACGAATGAGCCGATTTTAATCCATGCTTCTTTTCAACCACTGCCCATCTCGTGTAAACGGCAAGTACTTTCAGCCAACTGGTGGGTTTGACTTTTCCCAGCGCAAATGGGTCCACCCCTTTGCAAAGGAAGAGGGAGGGGGCGACACTTCACGCATGCTTAACGTACGAAGTATATGGGCAGGAAGTACTCCACAGGTACACTTCACGTATGAACTATACGGAGGGGAGGGGAGATGCTTCACGTGCACATCACGTACGAGAATATTGGTGTCTCCAGTGATTGGCAGGAGCCTTTGTTCGGCAGCAGCAACAGGAATTGTTCCATACGCTCTAGGCCGCAATGTCGATAGAGGTCGGGACTGCTGAGGACTAGCGACACGAGTTCGGCCAAGGTTGGAACCTAGGCCATCGAGCGCCCACAGACGTTGGTAGTCAACGTTTCAGTGTTCCCGACTGATAGAAGAACAACCGCAAGCCATGTGCTCGGCAGCAGTCTGAGATGAAGGCAATGGAGAGGTGTAGTATAATGGGCCACAACGATGCTTTACGGGTCAGTTCCTTACTGAGGACCGACCCACAAATGAATGTTGGCATTGAAAAAAACTCTTCCCGCGCTATGGAATGTTGAGCGCTGCAAGCAGGCGATATGTGGCCCTCGTCATTTGTAAGTAACGTGCCGAGCAGACTCTGTTGCCATGCCATGAATTGTTAACAGAACGAGGTTCAAAGGGCTAAATTGTCACGGACAGCAGAGAAGCACAATATTGGTCCACGGAAATAGCAGCTCCAGATATATAACACTGTTCACGAACTGAGTGTCCGCATAGATTGATAGCCAAGGAAGGCGTCTATCTATGTGACGGTCAGGTGATAGGCGGGATCCTGCCAACACATGTTGAGGCACCCTGGTGACTAAAATGGTAGCACCCAAAACTCCCTTTAAGGAAAGAATGTTGCACGTTGTACTACTTACAGTGCCTGTGTGCTTGGGCGGCACCCTGGCCGGCGCCATGCGTGGTAAACGGCTGTGGGCCCCACTGGACCCCGCATCATTAGCCCTTCATCTCTGGGTCCTCATTTGCAAAATATTGTGCAAGTGGTGCAAGGTCATGGCATGTATCTCTTTGCACGCTAGTGAATATGGTAAAACTGCCAGTTGGGGCGGCGATCTTGTTGACCAGACAAGGCAAATTCTAAGCCAAAGCACCCTTCCCAATCAGCATGATCGCTTCAGACTTCTGCTTTATGTGACACATCACATGCGATTTCTGTTTCTCTTGCTTACACATTCACCTACGGAAAAGCCGCTTCGAATTTCATGTGATTGCGGATCAGTAGGCCGTGCCTTTGGGAGTGGTGCAATGATCGACGTAAAACGCACGGTTGTGGTAGACATCCATTTTCTGCCTTAGCCATTGTTCATCCACCCAGAGACACGCCAGTGAACGTCGGGCCTTCGCAGCGAAGTTTCGCCAGGAGGCCATTCTCACACTCACATCGCCGATGAAATGAATCTCTAAAATGTCACAAAGCTATGAAAAATGTTCGAGATTTTCAAAGAGGAGACACTGTTTTCGTCAGCCAAGGTGATTGGTTTTTTGTTTGCACCCGAGGGACCCATTAATGCTCAGCACCCGTCACCGACATTCCACTCACTAGTGAACACTAGGAATTGCTGTGCCTTCCTAGGCATTATTTTCCCAGCCCTGACGCTGCCCAGCGCAGATCAAAATATCGTGCCCTTTCCCCCAACTGCGGCGCAGCTTTAACTGCACTATATGGCGGTACAGGTAGTATATATGCTACCTGTGTCACCGGCTGCAAAAGCTTCTTCCATCCAAGTGGAGACCCTCGTCAACAGTGTGCACTTAAAAGTGTAGAATTAATGAAACAAAATTAAATTGACGAAATGAATGAACCAAATGAAATCGAAATGAATGTCAATTGCCCCCATTTGCTTATTGCCATCGCCCGAAAGGAGTATCGGCTCTCATATTCAGCCCAACCCTTGCCTCATCCACCTCATCTCTCCTCTGCGAGGGTTGAAAATTGGTTATCTGATGCAAAAAATGGAGATTCTATGATTGTACATTCCAAAATGTGTTTCTTCCCTGCTTCTATATCTGCCGCCGCCGATATACCAATCCTGTCGCGTTTGCTACACTACATGTGGATATTTTCGTTCTCAAGTGATCCATCAGATCAATCATAGTCGAGAGTCCGACAGATCGCTATTCCATCGCTTCAAATCACCTGAATCAAAATTGGATCAAGCCTGGTCGGGTCAAATCAGATCTCAAAAAATTGGATCCGATCCGAAGGCTACCCGCCGCAGCTCAAGTCAATGACGGTGACGGTGATGTTGTCTCTGCATCCCCTATCTATAGCTGTCCTAATTAGGACCTTCGCCGCCACCCGCACTGCTGTCTCTGGCGCCGTTTCCCGCTCTTTTGACCGCCTTAGGCACTTGCGCGCCAATGTACTGGCCTCCTCGTCCGACATCACGTCCCACAGGCCGTCACTGGCCAGCACCAAGAGCTCGTCCCTTTGGTCGCGGCCGATGACCGTCACCTGCGTGAAGCGAATGTAAAACGCATTGATTCATCAAGATTAATGCACATTTGGATTTGACGTTTGGAAGCGTCGCCTCGTGAATTTTGCACAGATGCGGATTAAAGCCACTCAGAGAGTGTCACACTATTAAATTGATTAGTCCAAAAAACAAAATGCCCATTGTTCCAAATTTCAGGAATTAATTAAAACGCATTGGTTCATCAAGATTAATGCACATCTGGATTTGACGTTTGGAAGCATCGCCTCGTGAATTTTGCACAGATGCGGATTAAAGCCACTCAGAGCGTATCAAACTATAGAATTAATTATTCCGAATGCAAAAACGCCCATTGTTCCAAATCTTTTGGGGCTCATTGCTTCGAGCGAATGCCAAATTTAACGGCGCTTCGCCCCCCTGGTTACAAACCATTTCATCCAGAAATGGGGATGGAGCTGCAGCAACATTGATGGGCCTTGCTGCAAAGCGTTTGTCGATGCGCTTGCTGTCTATGTTGCGGCAAACCTCGCACATCAACGCTCTATCGGCATTTTTGCTTTGATGCCGTGGATGCGAAAGGGGCACGGACTCCAAAATGTTATCGCTTGCCCAATTCATCAAAACTAAGACTGTTGTTTCTTGTAAGACATCGGTGCATGGTCGTTGCAGCAACATCGACAAGCAGCACATCAATTTAATCGCTGCAGTAACATATATTATATATGTTTATATATACAATGATATATATTACATTGCTGCAACTCCATTCCGATTTCCAGATGTCCGCTCAGGACTGTGATTAGTTGTGACGTCAATCCAGTCAAGAGCTGTGGAAAGTGAATTCGCTTCATATCACGACTTCTGCAATGTCTTACTTCAAACATAACAAAGCGGCAGAGATGCTGTTTGGAAAGCGCATAGAACTGCACATCGCGGAAACTCAACTGAAAAGCGACATTTTGTCGACTCACCTCGGGATCCGATATGACCCCCGCTTCCCTGAGGAAATGGTCGCCCAGCGCTCGAGACATGGACAATTGACCCATGACTCGCGGGCCGTTGAAGTGCACGACCTCCCCTCCGCATCTCCTTATCCTCTCCTGAATAAAAGGAAAACGAGAAAGTCGAAGTCAATGTCGAAGTAAAATAACAACAAGCTGTGCTTAGTTTCAGCTTTAGTAACGTTGGTAAGTTGCTGCATCAGCATTAAGTACTGATATTAATCCGCGTTCAATTAAATTTGCAGATGGGTCAAATGTAATTGACCCATTGCCGGGTGGCCGTGCCAGTCAACGACACCCCAGGGACGCAGCGAGTCATGGTCTTGTCTGGCTTTACATTGAGGGTGTTGTCGATTTCATTATGTTATTACGTTATTTCTTTATTTATATATTCTATATGTCATCGACTTCCGTTATCGATTTCTTGTATGTATTTCATTTTATTGGACAACATGTGTACGAAGCTCAGTACGTCGCAACACATTCTGCTACCCCAACATGACTGTTGGCACACTGAATCAAATGGACTCTGGGCTGCCAATCCCCGCCGAACTCGAGCAGCTTCTTTGCATTTGCAGGTACATGATTATGTACAATGAACGGTTGAACACTAAATTGCAAGTGTGTAAATGTGGAAAAAATAGTGCCGTTTGTCTGTGAGGAACACGTGTCAATTTCCCGGGAATTCACCCACAAGCGGAATTTCATCGTCACACTTCCCACCTGCTCATCCTCCAAGTCGGGCTTGTGATCCCGCGTGAGTCTGTACGCAGCCCCGCCCCTCGACAGCACGGCTCTGGAATCCCCACAGTTGGCCAGGCACAGAATTGACTCGCTGACCAAAGCGACGACCGCCGTTGAGCCCACGCATTCCTGCCCCATCAGATCCTCGTCCATCGTTTGGAAGGCCAGCCGCACCGCGTTCGCCACCGCTTCCAGCCCCCCAGCTGGTGCCAAGGAGCCGTTGCGCCGTTTGGACATCCACTGCGGAGAGAAGAGCCAACCAAAACAGCTGGTCAGATTGCTTGCGGCGGGCACACTTGTGCTTGCGGGGCCGCAGTATGCGTTACACTTATCTGCTAGTGGGCGTGTCATTACTTTGGCGCATGGAGGGGCGAACACGGCTCATGAAAGTTCTTTCAGATATGCATGAGTATTCGCGTATAGGCACAAACCATGCGCGCCCGAAAGCGGCCAGAGTCTTCTTCCGGCAGTCAATGGCTTGCCTGTTCAAACGCCCTCCTCACGTGCAGGTGCAGGTTGGCTGCCACCAGCCTGGCCACGTCATCCCCCCCGTGTCCGTCGCACACCGCCGCGTAATGGAACCTGCAATTTCCAGTCACCGCGTGCGCATTCCCCGCAACGCCATCCAATCCCGCCCCATCCCTCCGAAGCGACGATGTGCCGCTGACCGCGTTGGCCCCGCCAACGCCCACAAGACCCCTGCCGGTCTCCTGCCCCACGCCTTCGGCCGGCCGACCCCTGCAGGAGACCCGGGGGGGGTCATTCCCACCCTCACAGCATCCCATGGCTCCCATCCTCTCTACATCGGATCCCAAGTCCAATCTCCACCACTCGGATCTCGCATGGTCCCACAGTGGGGTCAACGACTTGGTCAGCGCCTCGGGGATGATCCATTCACCAGGTCGGAAAGCCAGTAGCAGATCCATCAGGTCGGGGACGATCGCGGTGGCGTCCTCCATTGCCTGCCGCGAGCCCTGGTCGCTCGCTGAACCCATAGCGACCCACCCGGGCCCGCCCGCGGCCATCCAGCGAGCCACTGCAATTGCGCCGGCGCTTTGGTCGATGGTTGGCCAACGCCTGGTCAACCACGCCCCGGACGGCGAGAGGGGTGGAGGGTCCCGTGCGGCGCCGGGCGCCCCGAACAACTGTCGCTTGCCGCTGGGTGGCACGTGCGGGGCGGGCTCGTTTTATCGGTGCGATGTATGCGCCATCGCTTCCGAGAAGGCGGTGGGGACGCGGCCCGCCGGATGCGCATGGGCGGATTGGGCGGCGCCGTCTTGTCACATCATACTAGGACCGACTGTGCAGTGTTCTGGCACAGCAGCATTGCCAAAGCACAGCACGGTATTGCGGCGTCCAGCGGGAACCAAGCACGGTAGTAAAGTACTGCAAAACGGAGGCGTCACGTTAATGCTGGTCGTTACAAATGAATTTTGAAAATTCCCCTGATTGTGAGCAGGTAAAGTACTGCGCGCGGACCTGCCAGACCACAAGCCCGCCCTCCAGCCCCGGCGAGCAGCCCCAACCCGCTTCCGTGAAGATTGGCCACTGCCGGCGTCTGCGCCCGGCGTGGAGGGGCCAACACGGGTCAGCGCTCCGAGCGGCGACCTTTGTGTTCTGGAGGCACGAGGACAGTTCGGGAGGGATCCGATGGGCGCTGCCGTTGGTCGCGGAGGCGCTGTATGTGCTGTGGCGGGGTGCCTCGATGAGCGGCGGCAGGGCGCCCGGGGACTGGGTGGGCACAACCTGGGCGAACATTTGTAGTTCTAGTCTCGGTCGCATTGACGTTGTTTGCAGGGAGGATCCTTGAGATGGGACTCCTGTGCATGCAACCCTTTGTTCATGTGGTTGCGGTGTTCTTGGGCGGTGGCGTTTGTCCAGTACAGTCACGCCGCTGCCGCTCAAAGTGCAACTGCCACTCCTGGGGACCAGGGCCGCGGTTTTCATCCCCTACGACATCTCCATGAAATCTTGCGGTGCTGTCGTTGGAGCACGCTCATATGGTATACCCCATGCTGGTATGGGGATGCTGTATGGGAGTTTGGGAATCTGTTGTCTTGGTTGCTGCTGCAAGGCAAGCATGTGGTCCACCAAAGTGCGTCCAGGCTGGAGGGGCCGCTGGCGAGCTGTCAGCATTGCAGCATGTTCTGTTTTTGGTGTGTTTTGCTGTTTTAGTTGTTGTTATGTCTCTTGAGCTCGGCACACAGCAAGAATTCCTCAAGATACGGATCCAATCGGAAGCGGTCCATGAAAAACGATGGAGGAATCTGCACATGTTGATGATGTTACAGCTACTGGTCTTCTTCTATTCACAGTAATATGGCAGAGTCTTCTCAAGGTGTATGGCGCAGACCAGGGTTAGAATGCTGATTGAGTGGCACATCCAAAATGATCCACCAGTTGGGGGTGCATTCTCTCAAGGCAGCTGGGCGGCACTGCCCAGTGCCTTGTGCTCCACCTGGTGCAACTCCTGTGCGTGCTAAACTGGGTGCTCCACTCTGCAAGCGTCTTGGTGCTTTACATTATTTCTCCCATGGGGGCAGGCAACAGTCAGCGAGACACTGAAGTGCCAGTGTTGGGCTGGCCAATCATGCCATTGACAAGTCAGTACGGGCACAGGGCAGATCGTAGAACAATAGGTGCCGACAACAACTTGTCAATTGGCATTTGGAGAAGGGCTTCATCACCAGTGTTTGACCTTGCACGAAAATTCGCAGGAGGAAATGGTGCTGCCATCCACCGAGTAGGGTGGTTGGTGTTGTGTAGATGGTACTGGCTCGACCTATCCCCTGATCAGTCGCAATGGGCCACATTGGTATGATTCCCCTTGTCCCAGCGCCATATCAATAGTTCATGCTGACACTGGGTGCCGTGTGCCAGTGAACGAGTGTCAGCCAACAGAATATTGAGCCTTCAAATGTTGGTGAGCTCTTCTTCACCTCGGCTGGCAACATGCATGTCCTTAATTGCAACCTCTGTTGTACCCTTTTGGCAGTGAATGAGTAGCTGCATATGCTCATGTCAACTGACCCGAGTCCCCAGGGCCCACAGGCAAGAGCATGCCTTCACAAGTGGTGACTGCAAATGCAGGAGCGTTGAGACAAGAGTGCAGACAACCTCTGCTTATTGTATGATGATCTTTTGCATCCCAGGGACTGCTGCAGGCCAGCCAGGCTCAGATCACACATGTCAACCGAAGTTTGTGTAGCTCCATGCCAAGGAGCGAGGCCTATACAATCAGCACTGCGGTCTCTTTTGCAGAATCAGGGCGCCTGGCATAGTAGTTTGTGTGCACGGCACAGGCCCGGCTAGGCCCCTAGACCGGACTTCCCAACCTCCACAGTCTCAGCGAATAAAGACTACTGTACAGCGACACAGCACTGTTGTACTGCCTCCCATGTGCAGGGATCCGTCTTTTCCTGCCCCAGCC